TAAAAAAAAAAATGTACATTATTTTGTAAAAAATCTAACACTGTGTATTTAATAATTTCAAAAAATGAAAACTATTTGCTAATTTTAAAGTTAAATAACCTTTTAATGACTTTGTTATGTCTGCATTTTGTAGGAAAGCAATTTGAATATTTGGTTGCAGCACGGAGGTCCACAGTTTCAGCTGATCCTCTAGATGGGTATCTGTCATTTATGACCTTAAGGGTGTCTTGATTTGGGTTAGGTAGGAGAATGTAGATTTGCAGCAATAAGTGGGTGAAAAACAAGAAAGCATATTTTGGGCATGTTGCTGAAGGTGTGGGTATTCTACTGCATTTTTCCATATTTCAGTTGGATCTTTCTTAGCATTAAACAATGACTTTAAAATGTCATCTACTGAGAGCTCAATCAATTCCATCTGTAGTTCTTTAGGTGCCTTGATGACATCAACTTAGGTGAGGCTGAAATGCTAATTTGAGTGTGATGTCATGATTCTCAAAGTAAGTGAACCTTTCATTGTATTCTCCAATTAATAATTCTATAACAGCTGTATATTCTTCAAATGATTCACCTATATCATCCTGCTCATCAATGACCTTTGCTAACTGGAAAAACGTTTATCCACAATTTCCTTTTGAAGAAGTGTTTTGAAAAAAGATAGCTTTTTTCAAAATGCTTAGATGTTTTGCCACATATCATATCTAGACTTGGTTTTACCTTGCAAAGAAATATTCAAGTTGTTTTGATTTGACATGATATCACACAGAAATGCTGCATTTCTATAGAAATCTTCTTTCAATAATTCACATTGCTAATTCTGTTCCTCTCAAAATTTAACCATCTCTTCTCACAGATATAAAATTTTGGCTAACACCTGTCCCTGCAATAGCCAACACACTTTAGAATGATGTGGCAAATCCACCCTGAATACCTCATTCTTCAACTGACCTGTTATGAAACTGACAATGTCGTGTGGCATTTGCATGAATATAGTTAACAATATTTATAACTTGGTGCAAAGTGTCACTTAAAATAGAAGCTTTAGCACAGAGATTTTGCTGATGCAAGATACAAAGAAAAGTATGAGAGCATCTGGATCTGTTAATACTTTTTCTGTCTGTGCAATAAACCCTTCATGTTTTCCTGTCATGGAAGGTGCACCATCTGTACATACGCTCACTAAATTTAACAAATTCAGTCCAACTTCACATTTATCTTGAAAGTTATTGAAGATAGATATTCCCCATTGAAGATATCTATTCCCTGTGTTCTGTTTGCAAGAGTGCCCAAAATGAGTAATTCTTTGTAGCAAAGAAAATCCTCTGTTTTAACCTGAACGAAGTATAAAACCTGTGCTGAGTCAGTAGTATCAGTTGATTCATCCAAAGCAAATGAATAACATATTTTTTCCTTTTGAAGTATTGCATGAAGTTGTTCGGTTAAGTTGAAGGTTCATTCATGCAGTTATGGTTCTCCTGGAAAGAGGCAGTTTGTACTTTGAAACGTTACTGGGGTCTAAGCATTCTACAACTTCTGCAATGCACTCTTCCATAATTTCTATATCACTGAATGGCTTCCCTTTTTCCCTGAGTATATAAGCTACTTTATAAGTTGCTTCAGTGGCATTATTTCCAGGTCTTATTGCTGCTTGAAAGAATTGTCTTGGCTTTTGCTTTCCATCTTTTAATTTCGTGCCTCTCCCTCTAATTTAAAATAATGTGTGGTCTTTATGCATGTTAAAATGCTGATGAGCATTGAATTTCTTTAATGTTGCTGTTGCACTATCACAAAGCAATCAAGTCATCTTATCTTTAGCAGACACAAGATAATACTGCAATTCCCAATCCTCATTAAAAAATGTTTTCTTCCTTTGGCGTTCTCTTGGTCTTTGACATGATAGGCTATTAAGCAAACAGAATTAAAAAATACTGTGAGCTGTGCAACTATTCACAAATTCCACTTCAAACAGAAACACAATGCACCATTATCAAAAGCTGATGACCGATTTGCATACTTGACCGCCATAAACTCTCACCAACCAGCCTCAGGTGGTAGTGGTGCCAGTCAGGTGAGGGGAGTTAGAACTAATTCATGACTGTAGCAGCTGTCAATTTAGCCCTTATGGCTTACTAATGTTCTAACTGTGCTGGTCAATCTGGGAGGATGATTTCATTGAAACTTATTTTATTCTTTGGTATTTTAAATATGTTCATTTTAGAAATAAACTATGTAAAAGTTGAACGGAAATGTATTAATAAAAATAAAAGGATTTGTTTTGTAAAATTGGATTCAGT